TCTCCAAAAATAAGTGGATAGGGCTTACCATTCACAGTAACAAGAAAAATGTCATTAATGTGAAAGGAAACATCAGTGTTCTCTTGCTTACCTAGTACTGTAGCACCTGTTCTGTATATTTTCCCACCAACTGGTATTTGATGCAYTGGAAGAAATGCACTACGATACGACTCTGCAAATTCACTAACAATGCAGAATTCCAGATTATTGAAATATTCCTTGATAATCTCTTTCTCTGCTGTTGTAATGTAATGTGGCTGTTCAGAACCAATTAGAACACCTTGGTTTACCTTTGTAGCATCTGGGCTGTTCTGACACAATTCAACCAAGGATTTAGCTCCTTCAATAGAGGTTGCTACAACCTGGAATTATATAAGCATATTATCATTATAATCATAACCTGATTAAATCATTATGTACTAACAGTATTTAGTTTCAGCTGTTTCTTGCTGGAAACATTTGAAAGTTTTAGCTTGCACGGAATTTTGCAAAATGGATCTGGAAAGAATACYTTCTAARAGGAACAACCAAATKTTAACATCATTTAGGYTCTACATTCTCTRTAACATTATCCAGCTAAAATTTRTGAGTGAAATTAAAKTGATCATAGATTTATTTTGAAGAACKTTTTGAAGGTTTAATTGTAAATAAACTTTTTCTCACCTTTTCTCTGTTGTAGGTGTTATTTTTTGCTGTTTTGCGTAAATTGAGATTTTCCAGGTTTTGGAACTTCAAAAATTCTCTTTGAGACTCTTTTCTTGCAAATGTTTTTTCTAAATACTTTCTGTTGCTAGACTGTCTAACATAACGGGAAACAGCTCTTTCAAATTGTGTGCACCAGAAGTTGTCTGGAGAAGAAAACCTTGAGATGTCTTCGTGGAAGTGAATAAKATTGTGCAAGTTGATGACACAGATTTGTGTACCAAAATGCTCCTCCATTAGAATGCAGCATCTCCAAGATAGATGACAAGACTTCTGGATCATTTCCTCAGTCCAGCCATATCTACCAGCATTAAATACAAAATCAAAAAGTCTGGGAACTGGAGCCCATATGTTGCTTTGATCTTCAGTGAGCAGTCCATGAAGTAAAAACTCAGAAGCAGGAAATGCAAGTTTTTGATATTCTTCTGCCTTCCAAAATCCTAGGTATTCAAAATGAGTAGGTAGTCTTGAGGATTTATAATCAGTAGTCCATGGCATTTGTTTTAGTCTTTGTGTCAGTTCCCGTTCATCCATACCTTCTATAGTACAAAATTTTGTGAAGTGATTTTTGACAATATTTAGAGGTAGCAAATGCATTGCATCAATCATAAAATCAGTTAATACATTAAAACCATATAAGGGATGCAGTCGATGAAGTTGACTGAGGCCATTAAAGCCAAATTCTCTACTTTTACTCTGGAAGTAAGTTGTCCTCTCCTCTTGTTCAATATCTCTCATATGAATAATTTCCTCTTCAAGCACTTTTTTTTCCATGGGTGGCGAAAATGCTCACGAACTCCAGGATAATAATAATGGCGCTCTTCATCTAACCATGTACCTGCAGACAGAAAAACTTGGCTATAGTCAATGGTAAAATTAATTTCTATAATATGGTGAAGTCAGCCTCACAGAAAAGCCAGTTATTTCTTGTGTATTGTTTAGATATTATTTTATCACATTCTTCATTATGCTATCTCCAGAGATAGACCATACATATATATATATCAAAAAACTAACCTACAATCCTGGACAAAACCAGTAGAGAAAATGGTTAATAAACATTTTTCTTTTGATTTTGTTAGCAACAACAAAAAAAAAAAAAAACATGTACCCTCCCCTAAATCAATGTTGCTCAGAAACATAGTGCAAACCATTGCCGCAACACTGCTTTGGAGGGAAAGGGGGATTATTGTTCAAAATGCCCTAAAGGAGCAAGGATGATCAAAAAACTTTTCGATATTCTCTACACTTTTGTCCAAGATTGTAGCTATAGCTGTTGACTCAGAAGTACTAGCTTTTTTTTGGTAGTATTTAAATATATTTTTAAAACTTTGTGCATCAATCACGGAAATCACCTGAAAGATGACATCTTTTGCAGGCCTTCTTTCCTCCTGCCCCTTTACTTTTACAGACCTCATACTGTGCAGGGTGATCTCCAGTTCAAAGTAGTAGTAACAGCCTGATAATGATTTCACCAGGTGGAAAACAGTGTAATTGACCTTTATAGTTGACCAAGTATCCTGAGAGAAACATAATTATAATTTCATAATTAATATCTATAACAATAAATAMAACTTTATGTAAAATGTATGAAAAAATGATTCTAACTAATGATTCTAGCTATTTGCCTTCAATAAAACCCTCCTCTAAATCCTGCACCAATGGTTCCAAAAATGGATCAAGGCTATTGGGTCTTCCATCTGGAAGGTCATATGAGTGGACAAAGCCAACAGTATAAATTTCTTCAGTGTGCAATCTGTCATTCTTTGCCATTGTAGCAACACTAACTTCTATAGCCCCAGTGCTTCTCTTTTTATTTCCAAACGGCTGAAAGCCATCCCAGTCTGCTGAAAAGTGTAACAATCAATATTGAAAAATGTTTTGTTCATGAAGTTTATTGGGGTAAACCACCTAACTTTATTGCAATAATTTTCAAAAAGAGTACCATAAGTTTTTCATCAAATAACAATATTGTAAGTTCTTGAATAGCTCTTATTATGWCTGAAWGCAAATGAGATACATCCATTGYATTGACCTGATAGCCTCGCTTTGAATTATCCTTAAAAACAGAAGATATTCTCATTGCAGGCTCAGCTGTAATATCAGCTATCAAAATTGTTTCCTTTCCACTTTTAATTTCATAAAGACAAAGACATGTAAAAGTAAAATAATAAATTATGAGTGGAAAATATATAAAGGAAAATATATAAAGGAAAAAAATGATAATTTGTTGAGAAATATTTTCTATTGTCTATTTTCTATTTCTATATATACTCAATTGTGATAGACTAATTCCTATGAAAATTTGTTTGGGTGGCTTTGATTTGGTGTAGTTGCATAGTGTAGCCACTAAGTTTTATAAAGTTGAGGCTAGTCTACATTTTATTAAAACAGTATCTGGTCTGTGGCAAATGTTTCGCTAGATTCTAGACCCTCTCGGTAAGATTGAAGACGCGTGCGCGCGCCTCGCTTCCACAAAACAAAATCTATTTCTATGTATGGAGGGGATCGGAAATTTTAGAGGTTGCTATGACTACATTTTGAAGATGGCCGCCGCGCAGGACATTTAAATGATGTTTACAAAACTTAAAGACCGGCTTTTTTGAAAAAGTTTTTACAATGAGCAAGAAAAAATCAAAATTTATTCACCAAAAGCGTAAGACAAATGTGCGAGAATGTCCCATTTCACGAAAAAGAATGCGTACGACGGACAACCATTTAARGAGTAAACCAAGAAAGTCTTATCCTTCCCCTTCCCCGATCCGAGAAAAATCCGCTTTCAAGTCAGTGAACCCTTGCCCAAACTATCTTAATAGCCCTTTTATGAACAGTCTTGTAACTTGGTTCAAGTTATCTGGTACCAAGATCACTCCACAACAGTTCTCTGTAAGTAATTTCCCGTAGTTTTCGGCTTTTCGTAGCTTGTTCTCGATCGTAATTTAGACTTCAATACCATATATATATTTATTTAAAAACTATGGGCGTAATTTTCAGCAAATAATTGGAATAGCAATAGCTGCCACCACGAACAGGCCGATGGCTATGTTAATGCTAAAAGAAATGTTCAGTAAAGAAGAATTAAAACAGTTACGTAAACAACGCGAGGAAGACCAAGTCGATCACGGAACACAGACGTCGACTCAAGAAAATTTTGGCTGCAAAGAAAGTACTTCCTGTTTCACAGCTTGCAGTAAGTAAATGAGCTCCTATCATGTAATTCCAAAAGTCACAGGCCAGAAAAATTACCATAGCTGGGACTAGCATGTTAAAATTATTAAAACTGTGAAGTTTAAAGGAAATAATGTTTAAAACTCTCGAAGGTACTAATTTTCAAAAATAGAAATTTGTTTATGAAAAAATTCATTGAGAGCAAAAGCTAGATTCCTGATCAGCAATATATAAATTTATCTTAATAATTAGCTTAAACATTTGATTTTGAACAGAGAT